ATGGATCACGTGTGCGTACATTGCAGTGCCTTTAAATTTAAGAATGAAACGCCGGGTATGTGCTGCGCTGGTGGCAAAGTTAAATTGCCAGTATTACATTCACCACCCGAACCATTATCATCATTGGTAGCAGGTGACACAAGCCAGTCGAAACATTTCTTGGCCAACATTCGCAAATACAATTCGTGTTTCCAGATGACATCATTCGGTGCAACGAATATTGTGCGCGAGAATTACATGCCGACATTTAAAGTGCAAGGCCAGATTTATCATCGTGCTGGCTCCTTACTACCACTGCCCGACGCAGATTACAAATTTCTTCAGATTTATTTCATGGGGAACATTGATCAACAAATTAATCAACGTTGTCGATTCAATAAGGGGACACAACGAGACATAGTTGCTGCTTTACAAAATTTATTTGATCAACACAACAAATTAATTAGATTGTTCAGAACTGCTCTTCAACAAATGCCAGCTGATGACTACAGAGTTGTACTCAGAGCTGACAAAACACCAGTTGGCCAACATGAAAGACAGTACAATGCACCAACAATTGATGAAGTGGCAAATGTTATGGTTGGCGAAGAATTCAACTCGCGTGACATAATTCTTCATCGCAGAAATGGTGATGTTCAGCGAGTCTCAGAAACTCATCGCTCATATGACGGATTGCAATATCCAGTTTTATTTTGGCAAGGAGAAGATGGATATCATTTCAACATCAAATTGAGAAATCCACAAACACATGAGGAGATGATTAAGAAAGTCAGTGCCATGAATTATTATTCATATCGATTGATGGTTCGTGAATACGCTAACAATCAGTGGCTCAGTGAACGTGCTATCTTAGCAGCTAAAAACAAGGATGTGTATGCCATGAATCTGAACATTCAAGACAAATTACCTGGCGATGTGACAACGTATATGTCTATCGATACTGTCATGAATCAGGACGAAGTTGTTAATTATCCAACTGAGTTCTTAAATTCACTTGATATGCCAGGCATGCCACCCCACGTTTTAACCTTGAAAATTGGCGTGTCCATCATTCTTCTCAGAAACATCAATCCGCCACGTCTTTGCAATGGTACCAGGCTTTCAGTGAAAAAGCTGATGCTCAATATCATCGAAGGTACAATTTTAAATGGGAAATTTAAGGGCGAGAATATACTTTTGCCACGCATCCCAATGATTCCAACAGACATGCCATTTGAATTCAGACGCTTGCAGTTTCCGGTGCGACTCGCCTTTGCAATGACCATAAACAAATCACAGGGACAATCCCTACAAGTGTGTGGACTACATTTGGAACATCCGTGCTTTTCACATGGACATCTATATGTGGCCTGTTCACGCGTCTGAAAACCTTCTGATTTATTTGTGTACGCGCCAGACGGAAGAACAAAGAACATTGTTTACCCGAAAGCACTTCAGTAAATACATTTATACTGTTAAATTACCTGTCTTTTCCTAAATAAATGAAATCGGCACAATGATCCAATATAATTACATTTTGTTAAAGCGATTTTCCTTTCAATTCACTTTCTATTGTAGCAACGCGTGCAGGGTTGTTTACAGCAATTAGCAAATGTGTTCATTTTTTAATTATGGTATATTTTTCCTCTTTTCGTTGCTTTTCACTAGGGTAGTTTTTCCAACTACTTCGATGAGGGAGAAAGTAGTAGGTGAACTGGGGGATGGGTGGTTAAAATAAACTGTTTACTGAGATAGATTTAAGTTACAGTAACTGCCTTACCCACTCAAAGTTTTATTAGCTGTGGTTTAGCTGTTGCTCTGTACATCGCTAGCGTGAAGCGAAGACACATTTCTATGTTCTCTATTTTCTATGTAGCCAAATTACGCCACAGCAACGCGTGACCGGGTACAACTAGTTCTATTATAAAACAAGATAAAATTCCACGGAAAATTTTCGGTTCAGAAAAATAAACCTAATAGAAAAGCGATCTCAATAAAAGCTTATAAAATGAATCTATTTCAGCATTCTATCCTGGTAAGTCATTGTACACTTGTTGGAAAATTTTAGCAATATGATAGTCATATAAGATAAGCAATCAGAAGAACATTAGCAAACTGAGTATGAATTTTCCACTTTGTACAATGTGATTAAACATTTAGGCTTGCGAGGAAACAGGCGCAGACGAGCACTAAAACAACTGGGCAAGGTTGCTGAGAGGTCCTAGATGCGATCGAATCTACCCAGAATGCACTAAAATTAAAAGAGGTGATGGGTTACACTCAAACCGAACGTCGAGGCCTAGGGCACGGAAAAGTCAGTTGGTGGTCCAAAGCCACAGCCAAAGAGCGCCGAGACACGGTGATACAACAGATCAGAGATACCGAAAACAAGGTTTTATGTATGTATGTATGTATGTATGTACGTATGTACGTATGTATGTATGTCTGTATGTCTGTCTGTCTGTATGTATGTCTGTATGTCTGTATGTCTGTCTGTTGTCTGTATGTCTGTCTGTTGTCTGTCTGTCTGTCTGTATGCGTGTATGTATGTATGTATGTATGTATGTATGTATGTATGTATGTATGTATGTATGTATGTATGTATGTATGTATGTATGTATGTATGTATGTATGTATGTATGTGTGTGTGTGTGTGTGTGTGTGTGTATGTATGTATGTATGTATGTATGTATGTATGTATGTATGTATGTATGTATGTATGTATGTATGTATGTATGTATGTATGTATGTATGCATGTATGTATGCATGTATGTGTGTATGTATGTGTGTATGTATGTATGTATGTATGTATGTATGTATGTATGTATGTATGTATGTATGTATATGTATGCATGCATGCATGAATGAATGAATGTATGTATGTATGTAAGTATGTCTGTCTGTCTGTCTGTATGCGTGTATGTATGTATGTATGTATGTATGTATGTATGTATGTATGTATGTATGTATGTATGTATGTATGTGTGTATGTATGTGTGTATGTATGTATGTATGGTATGTATCATACATACATACATACATACATACATACATACACATACATACATACATACATACATACATACATACATACATACATACATACATACATACATACATACATACAAGCCGGTGTCCCTGTGGCACTTGCCAAGAAAGTCTAACATGTGTCTGATAAACCAACCGTAAGTTTGCCACTTGGTCGGCTAGGTATGCTTACTGCTCTAATAACGAAAACGAGGTTCGTGTGCCCAACAGTCGCAGCAAGTCTAGTGGATCAGCCTTTAGAGCGCCTTGCCATGAGTACTCACATGGGGTGAGATCAGGCGAATGGCCCCGCTGCGACTGAGCTTTATCGTTCGATCTGCCTACGATGTATTACCGTCCGGTGTTAACATGGCAACGTGAAGCGCGGTTAACGACCCGACATGCCCGCTATGTAGAGCTCAACAGACGCTCGAGCACGTATTGTCCGAGTGCAGAAAAGCCCTTGGTCAAGGCAGGTATACTTGGCGCCACAACAATGTCCTGAAAGAGTTAGCGGTCGTTGTGGACCAAGCTAGGATGAGGGCCAATACGAGGGCTAGGCCTGCCATCGTCCCCGTACGCTTCCTTAAGGCTGGGCAAATTTATATGGGCAAATTCAACAAAGTTGCATGCGCTCCATCGATGCTTGACTGTGCCAGGGACTGGTTACTGGCGGTTTACCTGCCTAGACATGAAAAGTATCCTGAGTTAATCCGGAAGAGTGGCCTGCGACCCGGCATAGTCCTACATTCTGCAGAGAAACGTCAGCTCATCCTGATTGAGTTGACCGGGCCGTATGAGTCGCGAATGGACGAAAGCCATATGTATAAGCTCGAGATATACAGTGACTTACGAAGAAACGAACCGTACACAGTAAGAATCTTCGCCGTCGAGGTAGGCGCAAAACGTCTCGTTTCCACTTCAATAAACAATGTGATTAAACAACTAGGCTTACGAGGGAATGAACGCAAACGAGCACTAAAACAACTGGGCGAGGTTGCTGAGAGGGCCTCGAGCTGGCCCTGGACACAACGAAACGTCGCGGAGGAGGGCCTCGGTGAGCTGGTCCGCGTGTCTTGTGGAAAATAATATTTTATCCCTAAAGTCTGTAGTGTCCAAATTGTCTGCCAGTGTCCCTCTGTCACCTACCAACAAAGTCTAACATGTGTCCTCTAAACCAAACGTACGCTTTCCACTTAGTCGTTCAGGTAAGCAGACTGCTTTAATTATGCTACACTGAGAGGGCCTAGAGGTGGCTATGGACATAACGGAACAACGCGGGGGACGGGTCTCGGTGAGCTGGTCCAGGTGTCTAGTGGAAAAGAATGCCTTATCCCTCAAAGTTCATCGTGTCCTAATTGTCTGCCAGTGTCCCTCTGCTACCTGCCAACAAAGTCCAACGTGTGTCCGATTAACCAATCGTAAGCTTGCCACTCGGTCGTCCAGGTATGCAGACTGCTCTAATTATACTACCGCAACGACATCTTACCTCACAGTACTTTTTGCAAAATCACCAATTCTTCTTATCCCTGTTCGAATAACATCCGGTAATACGTGCAGCAGGGGAAACCAACCCTGAGCTTCATGAACTCAGATGGGCCCACTCTCTGAAAATGTCTAGGAGCGCGTGGGCCGAAACATTTGTCGACGAAAGGTTACTTTTACTGACGATTGGTAGACTCCTGCTCTACATGCTCCCCTGTGGAGTTTCTCCTTATAGCGTAAATGTGACTCAAGCTCCTTTTTACTGACCACCAGAGTCCCAGACTTCGGTTGCTTGAATAGACCTCGGGCAAACTGGAACGGGTCTCTGAAGAATTTCTCTCGCTCCCTTTTGGTTCTCCGTTTGTTATTACAGAAACGCTCAGCGCGACAGAGGGTACTGTGTCTGTTTCTCAGGTGCAACAAGACCTCGTGCAGTCATCGTCACTTCGTAGACGAGCAACGGCCAGAGGAGCTTTGGAGTCAACATAAATTGGAGACACCAGACTTTGAACTTTCCGATCAGCCTACTTCGCTCGATCACGATCAGGCCTGTAGCCAGTGACTCGTGTATTCGCCGGACATCCGCTCTATCAGATAACTTTGAATCGTAAACGCGACTAAGGCTCTTCACCGGTTCCTCCAGAACCGTGGAGATCCGATTCCTTGCCACCGTAAAACTGATCGCCGCCACCCTACCTTTAAGGATTGACAGACTCCTCGACTTCTGCGGTTTGAATTGCATACCGCGCCATTAGACCACCTCATCCAAACTTTTCACAATCGTGCGAGCAGATTCCTCACTGTCCGTGATTTTAGTCGTGTCATCCATAAATGCACGTAGTGGCGGCATCCAGTGTTTCCCTATTTGAAGGCCCTGTCCGTAGCCGGCCACCCCGTCTAACATGATCTACATGGCCATAACGATCAGTATTGGCGAGATCGTACAACCCATAGCTATCCCAACTTGGAGCTCAGTTCACCTCGTGGTAAACGCTGAGGTAGAGAAGCGCAAAGCGAACTTTGAGAAATATTGCTCGATCATTTCTTTGATCTGTGTCGGTACGTGAAACATGCGAAGGGCCTGCCACAGTAGCCTATGGGTAACTGCCCCATAGGCGTTGGCGAGGTCCAACCATATTACGTGCAATTTGGTTCTCTCATGCTTAGCTCTCTGAATAGACTCCCAAATCATGGTCACGTGTTTAAGGCACCCAGGGACGTCCGGGATTCCACCTTTCTGAACACTCGTATCGATGTACTTGTTCGCCATCAGATACTAGGTGAGCCGACGAGCCATGACCGAGAAGAATATTTTGTCCTCAACGTTCAACAGCGAAATAGGTCTGAATTGGGAAAGACTTTTCGAGTCTTGCTCTTTGTGAATGTAGACTCCGTTGGCCCGTTGCCACTCCATACATATGTGATTTCGGCTCCACGATAATCTCAGCAAGCGGTGAAGCATTCATAGGATTTTCGGACAACGCTTGTACAGGACGTTTGGAACACCATTCAGACCTGGGGCGGACTTGCCGCTAGCTATTTTTACAAATTCTTCGACTTCAGACCAAGAGGGAGGTATCACATTAAAAAATATCTTCGGCAACTCAGGCTGCTTAAGGCCGCTAAGGATCTCTGGATTGTCACCAAGAGGGTCATTCCGTTTCTTGTATGAGTACATAATGTTACACTCGGAGAAAGGTCAGCTCATCCTGATTGAGCTGACCGTGTCGTATGAGTCGCGATTGGACGAAAGCCATATGTATAAGCTCGAAAAATGCAGTGACTAAGCGGCTGGGCTAAGGAGAGACGAAGCGTACACAGTAAGAATCTTCGCCGTCCAGGTAGGCGCAAG